ATTTCTCCAGGCCTCTAGCTAAAGAATAGGATGGCTTAGGCACAGTTTCTCAGAGCCTAACAAGACTACTTCAGAGGTTGGCTGTCACCAGGAGTTGGTGGCAGTTGAAAATTGAATACTGGGCCTGGAGACTATCAGAAAGTGAGTCCTGTGCACCTTGCAGCTGTGAAGGGGCCCCATCTTCGTCATGGGAAATCCCCTTTTTGGGCTTAACTTAGTGTTCCAATAGAGGAAAAGGCTGAAAAGGAGATACAACAGGCAAGCTCCGGCCAGCACCGTCCTCATCCCTCTTCCCTGCTTAGCCCCTGGGTACCCTGAAAGGACTGTCGGTCATTTTGAACACAGGGATCAGTACCTGAGAGATGAATGTGGCAATAGCTCTAAAGGGGACAGAATTGGTGCCCAGTGGGATAGCTGAACCTCCTGGGTGTCCCAGCCCCCACCATCACCTAAGAGTAGCCCAGATGCTGAGATCTACTCCCCCCAAGTCAGCACACACATAAAAGAAAATTCAGGCTGTGCTCAGGTTTCGGTGGTGACAGGTTAAAAGCAAAGCATCCAGCCAGTGCTGCATTCCGCCCAGCCAGCGTCCTGCCGGCAATACCTCTCCACCTTGCAGATTGCCTGTCAGTCAGGCTTTGGTGTTATTGAAAGATCAAACTTGGTCCTGCCTGTTCATTACCTTAATCCTGTTTTCTACATGGCTTTATTATCTGCTTGGGCTTCTTTAGGAAAGACAGCTCAGAGCTGTCCTGGCCATCCGTTTCCTCCCACCAGGGCATCTCCTCACCCCCTGCCCTGCTCAGTTCTCCAAGCTGAGCACAATTCTGGATACAGGGCAGACGTTTGCACAAGGTCTGGCTCCTCCCATGGGTGATGAGGGCAGTCTGGGGCTAGAGAAGAGGCAATACCATGTGATACTAGGGTGGCCCTGTCACAGGCAGAACCCAGAACCTGACCAGAGAATACAGTGACAATAACTCATTTGGTTCCAGGGCAACCGGAGACCTCAGCTGTCTTGTGTCCATTCTTATTCGGGTTCCTCTTGAGTTCAGGACAGTGTCAGTGTTTGGGGTTGATGACATCTAGAGATTTCATGAAAGTGCCGTTCAAAGAGCCAGCCCCTTAGAACACCATCCTGACCCTAACACCATCCTGACCCTAATCCCTCCAAAGCAGCTATAGGCAGCTCGAAGATCATCCAATGAGATGCTGCTGGGCCACAGTGCTGCTGGGCCCAGACCACCATGAGCCTCTGAGCTGGGCCCAGGCAAAGGAGATGATTGTCATGAGCTTCAGCTGATGGCTGACTGAAACTGCTGCACAAATGCCTGGACCACAGCCCTTCTGGTAAGACCCTCTGTGCTGTGGGGCCAGAAATCTCCTCTATACTGGCCAGAGGCTACAGGTATTCTGGGAATTAAGAGGTGAGATCCCTACAAACTCTTGTTCTGAGGGAGAAGGCAAAGGATCTAGGTGTCAAGCAGTGGGGACATTTTCACAGTTATTCAATCAAAACTGCTATTGGTAGTTGGGAACACTGAATTCCCACTTTTCAGTTCCCATGGTGGAAAGCAAAGTTCAGAGAGGTCCTACATGAGGCAATTTTGAGCGGGAGCCTGCCAGGCCACACAGCCAGAGCTTCTGAGCTCCTATTGCTTCCAGCACTCAGCCCTATGAGAGAGGGCACCTCCTGCCTCAGCCAGAATCACAAGGGGAAGGACGGGTGGCAGTTGTACAGAATGGATTCATGAGAACAAATTCCACAGCGTGCAGGATGTCAACAGCCCCAGGACAGGAGGCCACAGGAGCCCTAGAAGTTCTAGCTAAGCTGACAGTGGTGATGTGATCACTTACTGTACTGACAAAAGCAGTGGATCTGAAGTGAGGGAGGTGACAGCACATCTCCCACGAGACCACACGGACTACTCAGTGCTCAGAGGGACTGAGTCAGAAACTTTAAGGTAAAAATGATCCTGGAGCCAGCACGAGGCCAACTCCATGGGGCACCACTGACACACACACACACACACACACACACACCCGCTCATGTTCCTTCCTGTTAACCAAACCCTGATTCTGCAGCACCTGCCTTTCTCTCCGCCAGTTACTGTTGTGTCTAGGGGAAGCTGGCTCTTCTCTCAGGCCAGAGCCAAAGCACAATGGCTCCATCCTTGCCTCTTGCCAGGGTTTGGTTTAGGATGAGACCTTGGACACAGTCTTGACAACTGGATGTGAGAAGTCTGCTCAGCATTCCTGGGAAAGGCTCTTTCATGGTAAAATGGTCCCAGGCACACTCAGGTCTTCGTTCTACTTTTGGGTGTTGTCTTATGAGTGGGTGGCACTGTTGTCACCAAGCCTGAATGCAAGGGCAGAAGCCACCATGACTGCAATGGCAGGGGAAAGCCGAGTGAGAATGGCCCTTCAAGGTCTGGAGCCACCCAACTCTGGGCTCTGTGGCATCTTTGATCATAATTCCATTCTTGTTTGAGCTGATTCAATTAGATTTTCATCACTTAGAGCCTAAAGCTATGGTTAACTGATGACTTGTTTATGAAGAACAACTAAGGAATAAAATGGTGGGCCTGGGAAAAAGAAGACCCCAGAGGAGCAGGCACAAGGTTTCCAGACAGCTGGAGGCCTGTTCTACAGGAAAGATTCAACTTGCTTTCTGCCTGGGCACACAGATCCAGGAAATGAATGGACCTCAATAAACAGTGGGCATTCCGATCCTCAGAGCTCGACAGAGAGACAATGTAGCTTGGGAAGACTCTGAGCATCCTATCCCTGTTGTCAGATTCACCATCAGAATGTAGAAGAGATGCTCAATTAACTGTTTTGTGTTGAGCAATCCCCTGGAGAGAGTGGCTGTGGGACATATGCTTCAGAAAGAAGACATGAGGAGACGGGGCTAGAGAACCGGATGGAACCGGATGGAAGAGACAGGCAATAAACAGCCTTATTCCTGCTGTCCAGTGTGATACGTAGGCTCGGGGCTGAGGAGCTTGAGGTTTGCCACAGCTGATTAGAGGAAAATCAGTAGTTTAGATGAGAATTTTAAGTTTGAGGGCTGGAGAGATGGCTCAACAAGAACACTGGCTGCTCTTCCAAAAAGCCCAGGTTCTGTTCCCAGTGTCCACATGGTAACTCACAGCTATCTGAAACTCCAGTTCCAGGGCATTCCATACCTTCTCCTGGCCTCCGCAGACACCAAGCACACAGACAAATACATGTACACATACACATAAATACTGAAAAGTTTTCTTAATTTAAAATTTGTTCTACAGAAGACATTAAATCAAAAGGACAAAAGACAAGGTCCAGAATATATCTGTAAATCACATATTTGACAAAGGACTAATTCTAGACTATAGAAAGCTCAGGGGCTGGAGAGATGGTTCAGTGGTTAAGAGCAGAGTTCAATTCCCAGCAACCACATGGTGGCTCACAACCATCTGTAATGGGATCTGATGCCCTCTTCTGGTGTGTCCGAAGACAGCTAAAGTGTACTCATATGTATAAAATAAATAAGTCTTAAAAAAAAAAATAGAAGCTGGGCAGTGGTGGCGCACGCCTTTAATCCCAGCACTTGGGAGGCAGAGGCAGGCGGATTTCTGAGTTCGAGGCCAGCCTGGTCTACAGAGTGAGTTCCAGGACAGTCAGGGCTACACAGAGAAACCCTGTCTCGAAAAACCAAAAAAAAAAAA